GCTCACTGGAGGCCGCCAGAAAAACCAAATATTTCAAAAATGATCATACTCACTTAATTTGATCGCCGAAATATGGCTGAAATATTCGACTCGGCGTTAAACAATAATAATCAATCAATCGTTCAAAGAAGATAATTTCAAATAAAAGTTAATTTTGAATACGATTCGACAGTTTCCAGTGATATGCTGAATTTTATTTTGTAATAAATATATTTTCTATATGTAAACAAAAACAAGGCAGGAGCCTTGTTTACATTATGAAGAACTTTTAGTTCTATATCTCGTTTATTAAACACCAAATGGTGTTGAACTTTTTGCTGATCATTATATTATGCCTTAGTTAGGAATTGTAAACATTTAAATTAGTTTAAAAAATTTAGTTGAAACTGTGTCCATGTCCCTTTAATAGAAGAACTAGACAACGCCGTGTCGGGGTGACAGGGTAGTCTAACTCATTTTTATTATTTACAACCATAATAACATGAACACTATTGAAAAGAAAAGAAAGGTCTAGTTTACCGATCTTTGCCTCGGGAAATGATGTTTAACTTTTTTTCCTATAAAAAGAGCTTAAAAGGCTTTAAAACAATTTTATACTATTTGCAGCCCAAAGTATTGAAATTTATGGTGTATTGAATATTTTTCAATGATCAAGATTGGTAAGTTTATATGAAACAGACAGGGCGACCTCTGTTATTCGGAGTACACTAAGATATATATACATGTAGTTGACATATAAATGAAAGAAACTTTTACTATAGTTAATTGATAAAATGTCAATATAATTAAACTTCAAGTTGAAAACCAAGTAAGTGTCTTTTTCTTGTCAAATAAAAGTTCTAAAAAATACTCTGCTTTAACCCCTTCTCTACCGCATCGGTCAATATGACCGATAGCGCGTTAAAACACGACAATGCGATAACAGGACCTCCGTATCTTTTTAATAATAGCATTAAGGTATATAAACTATATATCATCTTTTAGGAAATTTTCTCTACTTTCAGACCCTGTGAAAATTTCGAGCCTTTTTAATAGGTAATGAATAGATTTTACGTTTTGAAGACATTCATGACTTTTTGAAAATGACGCAATTTTCCAAAGCAAGGACGATTTTCCTGACGATAGATATATTTTTTCCTGATTAAATCATTTAAATAAAATTAATATATTTAAAAAGGATATTTTCTCTGCTTTTAAAATATGTAAAAATTATTGCTTTTACTTTTAAATATTTTATAAAAACAAGAATTTTCTTCCACGCATGTAATTTTTCTAGGTTTTATTCGTAATATTGAAATTAAACGCAGTTTTACCTTTATTTCTGTGTTGAAATAGGGAAAACAAAATACAGCTGGTAAAAGTGGAGAAAATTTCCATTTCAACAAGACTTTACTGGTCTCTTTATTTTCGGTATTTTCTTAATTACCATAGTTTGAATTTTGAACCTCCGCGTAATTTTTTGTACAAAATTCGAATGTAGTCAATATTTAACGTCAAGGTCGTTTTCGTTGCGCCTCATTCGGAACATGTTTAGTACTATTATATTTAATTAAATATATTTATTTAAATAGATGTTTTATTTTAAAAAAAATGGTTTAAATTAACAGTAATTATATTTACACCTTTATAGAAATGTAGTACTTATGTATTTTTGTTTATTTATGTAATGTTCAATAAGTTCATTCAGTGTTGATGAAAAAAAAATGTTTGATTCCTTAAGGTCTACGTCAAAAAAATAAGATTTTATTGCTGTTTGCTTTAAAATATATTCTTAATATAAAATACAATTAAACATATACTGACATGAAATTTTAAAAAAAAACTTCGAAAACACAATGATTTAATATATACCGAGTCAGAGTGAGAATAGAGCCCGAACCAACGCTTAAACGACTCATTACGGTATAGTATGAGTTGATATTATTCGAGACTAACACGTGTTTCCGCTTTAGCAGTAAACAACAACAGCATGGATTTTCATGATTATTTTACGATGGAGGACACGTCAATTCATCAGATATGACGGGTCTTTTCTTTGGCATTATATGTGAGTAAGTATTGATTGAAAAGTTTAAAAGTGTTTTAAAGTACATTGACTGAAATGAAAAGACATTATAGACTACCAAGGACCTATATACTATAGTACTAGTATAAACTGGACCCTGGCTACACGTGTACATGTGATATGAAGCCGTTCGCTGGTTTGACATCGTCGGTAACCCACAAATGATACTTTTCGGTTCTTTCAACGATCACAAAAACTATGTCACTGTTTTCTCAATATGGAATCCGAATACTGTGTTGACTGATTAATAAAATCAATAAAATATTTTTGTTCGATGTACTCCGACCCACATTTTTCAAGATGGTTTGGTAGGTCGTTAATTTTCAGGTGGTTTACACTGCTGAAACATTGATAACTGTCATAAAATCACACATTTCTTAACAGTACATTGATATGTTTGTTAGCTACACAAGTTTATTGTTATAAAAACTTTCAGTCAAAAAGCATCCTATAGAAATTATACATCTTTGCTTTAAAATGAAACCATTTTAGTAAATTTAAAAAGAAAAATAAAAGTTTAAAGTGCTGAAAAAATTATTGGGTAGGGGCAATTTTGAAGGGTCGTCAGAGTACATCAAACAAATCAATTTTTGTATTGTTGGCCTGAACATCCAAACCGTGTTTTGCGATGATGGATTCAAATAAGTTCGACTTATTTTTGTGTTGTTTTTGAAGTGGGTAAGTTTTCATGACCACCTCTAAGTACCATTTAAAGAAAAAATGAAACTTGACATACATGTAATTAACACAAGCACAAAAATTTTTTTTAGCATGTGTAGTGTGCTGGTACCAAAGGCTTCAGAACTTTCATCTATGAAGACCCACTTGCTAATCCCACCAATGGCCACCATGCACAGAAAAGACCATGATGTGGAGGACATAGGTGCTTAGTTATTAGTAAGTCAATTTTATTGCAGTCAAAATTCCTCATTGCCACTAGATGACTATTAGTCAACACTTCCATGTACATGAGTAGCCCAACTGGCGCAGTGGTCAGAGCCTCTGCCCTATAGTCACGAAGTAAGGAGTTGATCCTTACATTGCAGGTTCGAATCTTACTATGAGACATGGAGACCTGTCCTTCTGATGAGACACTATAAAATTATCTTATCTTATATTATACTTATATAAACCAATTAAGGTCCCTTGTCGCAGTAGGTGCTGGCATGAAAAAGATCCCTCACAGCTCAATAACCGTAAGTGCCAAGTATAGAACAAAATTTGCATCTGTCCACCGACAAGTGGTGGCGTCTCCATCTGAGAGAGAAATTCTATCTAATAACATACAAACAAGCCCTTGTACATAAACACCTTGTCCCAGGGATTTTTCTCTGAAGTAACAGTTTTCAGTCCAACATGCCCTTTCTCTTAACAACCCTGACAACAGAAACTAAAAAAGTATACTTCATGCATTTGATAAAATTAATGGTTAATTATGCTGTTTTTAAAAATTTATAATTGATTAACCATGATTGTTTAGTACAATGCGGGCAATTTTTCAGTCATAATACATTGACTTCACCAAACCATTTAACTACAAGTATGACAATATATGACATATATGTAATATAATATATATGATATGCTTTGTAAAGACTTTTTAACAACATTATAAAAGGAAAGTTATATCAATGTGTCAATTGTAGATTTCTGTATAAACTAAATAATCTGATTAAAAATACATATTCGATTATAAAAGCTTAATTTTTCAAAACTTTTTTCTAAAATTTGTTACAGGAGTCGGGACAGAATACATTTAGAAACTGATCATGCCTTGGTCAAATCAAAGGAGTTCCCTCGGTCTTTCAGAGAGATGGCAGAGAGTTCATTCAACATGAAGATGATGTGCACATAATGTAATCTGGGATCTAAAGTTAGAGACTTTGAAGAGGATGTGCACATAATGTAATCTGGAATCTAGAGACAAAAACCTGAAAACTTACTAGCAAATAAGCCTATCTGCTTGTTAATTATTCTTTGCTGGATACTTCACTTTTAAGAATGCTCTTTATTTCTATCAATAATGCAAGTGGTTATTCAAGATCGTGTCATGTGATATAAGGAATTCTGACTTTTGACAGCATAAGTCAAGGGTTTGTGAGAAGAGTAGCAAATACTAAAGAAATCCTTGGCTACTGAAATGCAGTACTTGTATGCCACATAAATTGGATGAGTGAAAGATTGTAGCTGGAGTTCTGTGCTTGTCCATCTTTGCTGTTTTTTCATATGCTTATAAAATGACAAAAGTTGTTTTAACAAGTGACCCAGTAAAGACTTGAATGGATTTTTTTTCTTTTTGTAATTGCATACACCTTTAAACGATCATCTCTTGATACCGACTAAATTTTCTTGTCTGTTTGCTAAATTTTATCATTAAATTTAGTATATTATAAGAGGAAAAAGGTTGCACAATATTTTTCTGCAATTATTTAGAGCATCTTTCTTATAATATATAATTTTTCAAATTATTTTGCATCATTGTCAAGATTAAATCTTAGTAAATTTGATAGAAGTTAAACTGATAAACCTAAAGTTACAATTCAAATTGTAACGTGCAATGATCAAATTAACTGGACCTGATCCATATCGACCTCTGATTTCCTTTGTGATTTTGATTCATGATAAATATGTAAGAACGTATCAAATTAACCAAAAAAAAATTAATAAGTCCTTATTATACATTCTTACTAGCGTCGGAAGTGACATACCTTTAGTTCATTTCTTTTTCTATTTCTTTTAATCCATTTTTAGGAAATGTAATCCAGCGTGAGATTCTTTTAAATATTCCTAAAGTATAGGCCATGTATTGTTTGGTGGGTGAGTTTGAACTGTGTTTAATTGGGAAACATCAAAATGTGCTCTCTTGATATACTGCTTTCATTTGGTGAAATTTCAATGAAAAATTTCGGAAATCCTTAATTAAAATATGATATGAAAAAACCCCTAAATTTTGGAAATTTATGACGCAGTTGCTGGGAACGGCAAATAAGACACATAAGAAAATGTGATTTGGTAATACATGTACCTTTTAGTTATTTTTCATAAATGACAATTCATTTGTTCATGTACACTGTATATGTTTCAAAAGCACAAAGAAGATTTTATGAAGTCAGAATTAATATTTATCAGATTGAAAAAAAGGATAGAAACGAAACGATGATACAACTTGGACCTTACCCCAACTGAAATAAAAAGAAAATGTACATGTATATATCATAAAGAACAAATATGCATGTTATGTGAGACACTCAAAGACTATAAAAATGTCTGGGTGCATTTGGACGCTAAAAGGTTTGAGATTGGGAGGAGACGAACATTTTCTTTGTTGAAGGTAAGTATGCCGAAAAGATAATTGGAAATATGTCGAAAAGTTAAATGCTAGTTGTAGTTCGTTTTTTAAAGCATAGAGTAGTTTTTATTCGGTCAAGTAAAAGATGTACATAAGAACTTCGTTTTTAAGAAATACTTTTGTTACATTTGATGGTTAATACTATGCAGATTAACGATAAAACGCACAAAAGTAGTTGAATTTTTTTTAATTCATATGGATAGCATTTCATGCCACTTAAATTTAAATTAGCACTGAGAAGACATAGATAACTTTTATTTTACTATTATATTTACCTCCATATTAACGGGACATGGACATAGTTTCAGCTAAGAATTTTCAAATTTACTTTTCCATGTTTACAAATATTTAACTAAGGTCTTTCTAATGATCATCAAAAATTTGAACATCAGTTGTTGAGATAGAAGGCATATTTAGAGATTCAAACATTTGTTATGTATAAACAGGGTCCATGTCATGTTTTTGTTTACATAGATTAATATACTAATACATGTATATGTTCGGTCAAGGATAACAACCCCCTTGACATGTAAAAGATCGTTTCTCTGGTTTTCGAAAATGAGTAGGCTCACTGGAGGCCGCCAGAAAAACCAAATATTTCAAAAATGATCATACTCACTTAATTTGATCGCCGAAATATGGCTGAAATATTCGACTCGGCGTTAAACAATAATAATCAATCAATCGTTCAAAGAAGATAATTTCAAATAAAAGTTAATTTTGAATACGATTCGACAGTTTCTAGTGATATGCTGAATTTTATTTTGTAATAAATATATTTTCTATATGTAAACAAAAACAAGGCAGAAGCCTTGTTTACATTATGAAGAACTTTTAGTTCTATATCTCGTTTATTAAACACCAAATGGTGTTGAACTTTTTGCTGATCATTATATTATGCCTTAGTTAGGAATTGTAAACATTTAAATTAGTTTCAAAAATTCAGTTAAAACTGTGTCCATGTCCCTTTAATAGAAGAACTAGACAACGCCGTGTCGGGGTGACAGGGTAGTCTAACTCATTTTTATTATTTAAACCATAATAACATGAACACTATTGAAAAGAAAAGAAAGGTCTAGTTTACCGATCTTTGCCTCGGGAATTGATGTTTAACGTTTTTTTCCTATAAAAAGAGCTTAAAAGGCTTTAAAACAATTTTATACTATTTGCAGCCCAAAGTATTGAAATTTATGGTGTATTGAATATTTTTCAATGATCAAGATTGGTAAGTTTATATGAAACAGACGAGGCGACCTCTGTTATTCGGAGTACACTAAGATAGACATGTAGTTGACATATAAATGAAAGAAACTTTTACTATAGTTAATTGATAAAATGTCAATATAATTAAACTTCAAGTTGAAAACCAAGTAAGTGTCTTTTTCTTGTCAAATAAAAGTTCTAAAAAATACTCTGCTTTAACCCCTTCTCTACCGCATCGGTCAATATGACCGATAGCGCGTTAAAACACGACAATGCGATAACAGGACCTCCGTATCTTTTTAATAATAGCATTAAGGTATATAAACTATATATCATCTTTTAGGAAATTTTCTCTACTTTCAGACCCTGTGAAAATTTCGAGCCTTTTTAATAGGTAATGAATAGATTTTACGTTTTGAAGACATTCATGACTTTTTGAAAATGACGCAATTTTCCAAAGCAAGGACGATTTTCCTGACGATAGATATATTTTTTCCTGATTAAATCATTTAAATAAAATTAATATATTTAAAAAGGATATTTTCTCTGCTTTTAAAATATGTAAAAATTATTGCTTTTACTTTTAAATATTTTATAAAAACAAGAATTTTCTTCCACGCATGTAATTTTTCTAGGTTTTATTCGTAATATTGAAATTAAACGCAGTTTTACCTTTATTTCTGTGTTGAAATAGGGAAAACAAAATACAGCTGGTAAAAGTGGAGAAAATTTCCATTTCAACAAGACTTTACTGGTCTCTTTATTTTCGGTATTTTCTTAATTACCATAGTTTGAATTTTGAACCTCCGCGTAATTTTTTGTACAAAATTCGAATGTAGTCAATATTTAACGTCAAGGTCGTTTTCGTTGCGCCTCATTCGGAACATGTTTAGTACTATTATATTTAATTAAATATATTTATTTAAATAGATGTTTTATTTAAAAAAAAAATGGTTTAAATTAACAGTAATTATATTTACACCTTTATAGAAATGTAGTACTTATGTATTTTTGTTTATTTATGTAATGTTCAATAAGTTCATTCAGTGTTGATGAAAAAAAAATGTTTGATTCCTTAAGGTCTACGTCAAAAAAATAAGATTTTATTGCTGTTTGCTTTAAAATATATTCTTAATATAAAATACAATTAAACATATACTGACATGAAATTTTAAAAAAAAACTTCGAAAACACAATGATTTAATATATACCGAGTCAGAGTGAGAATAGAGCCCGAACCAACGCTTAAACGACTCATTACGGTATAGTATGAGTTGATATTATTCGAGACTAACACGTGTTTCCGCTTTAGCAGTAAACAACAACAGCATGGATTTTCATGATTATTTTACGATGGAGGACACGTCAATTCATCAGATATGACGGGTCTTTTCTTTGGCATTATATGTGAGTAAGTATTGATTGAAAAGTTTAAAAGTGTTTTAAAGTACATTGACTGAAATGAAAAGACATTATAGACTACCAAGGACCTATATACTATAGTACTAGTATAAACTGGACCCTGGCTACACGTGTTCATGTGATATGAAGCCGTTCGCTGGTTTGACATCGTCGGTAACCCACAAATGATACTTTTCGGTTCTTTCAACGATCACAAAAACTATGTCACTGTTTTCTCAATATGGAATCCGAATACTGTGTTGACTGATTAATAAAATCAATAAAATATTTTTGTTCGATGTACTCCGACCCACATTTTTCAAGATGGTTTGGTAGGTCGTTAATTTTCAGGTGGTTTACACTGCTGAAAAATTGATAACTGTCATAAAATCACACATTTCTTAATAGTACATTGATATGTTTGTTAGCTACACAAGTTTATTGTTATAAAAACTTTCAGTCAAAAAGCATCCTATAGAAATTATACATCTTTGCTTTAAAATGAAACCATTTTAGTAAATTTAAAAAGAAAAATAAAAGTTTAAAGTGCTGAAAAAATTATTGGGTAGGGGCAATTTTGAAGGGTCGTCAGAGTACATCAAACAAATCAATTTTTGTATTGTTGGCCTGAACATCCAAACCGTGTTTTGCGATGATGGATTCAAATAAGTTCGACTTATTTTTGTGTTGTTTTTGAAGTGGGTAAGTTTTCATGACCACCTCTAAGTACCATTTAAAGAAAAAATGAAACTTGACATACATGTAATTAACACAAGCACAAAAATTTTTTTTAGCATGTGTAGTGTGCTGGTACCAAAGGCTTCAGAACTTTCATCTATGAAGACCCACTTGCTAATCCCACCAATGGCCACCATGCACAGAAAAGACCATGATGTGGAGGACATAGGTGCTTAGTTATTAGTAAGTCAATTTTATTGCAGTCAAAATTCCTCATTGCCACTAGATGACTATTAGTCAACACTTCCATGTACATGAGTAGCCCAACTGGCGCAGTGGTCAGAGCCTCTGCCCTATAGTCACGAAGTAAGGAGTTGATCCTTACATTGCAGGTTCGAATCTTACTATGAGACATGGAGACCTGTCCTTCTGATGAGACACTTTAAAATTATCTTATCTTACATTATACATATATAAACCAATTAAGGTCCCTTGTCGCAGTAGGTGCTGGCATGAAAAAGATCCCTCACAGCTCAATAACCGTAAGTGCCAAGTATAGAACAAAATTTGCATCTGTCCACCGACAAGTGGTGGCGTCTCCATCTGAGAGAGAAATTCTATCTAATAACATACAAACAAGCCCTTGTACATAAACACCTTGTCCCAGGGATTCTTCTCTGAAGTAACAGTTTTCAGTCCAACATGCCCTTTCTCTTAACAACCCTGACAACAGAAACTAAAAAAGTATACTTCATGCATTTGATAAAATTAATGGTTAATTATGCTGTTTTTAAAAATTTATAATTGATTAACCATGATTGTTTAGTACAATGCGGGCAATTTTTCAGTCATAATACATTGACTTCACCAAACCATTTAACTACAAGTATGACAATATATGACATATATGTAATATAATATATATGATATGCTTTGTAAAGACTTTTTAACAACATTATAAAAGGAAAGTTATATCAATGTGTCAATTGTAGATTTCTGTATAAACTAAATAATCTGATTAAAAATACATATTCGATTATAAAAGCTTAATTTTTCAAAACTTTTTTCTAAAATTTGTTACAGGAGTCGGGACAGAATACATTTAGAAACTGATCATGCCTTGGTCAAATCAAAGGAGTTCCCTCGGTCTTTCAGAGAGATGGCAGAGAGTTCATTCAACATGAAGATGATGTGCACATAATGTAATCTGGGATCTAAAGTTAGAGACTTTGAAGAGGATGTGCACATAATGTAATCTGGAATCTAGAGACAAAAACCTGAAAACTTACTAGCAAATAAGCCTATCTGCTTGTTAATTATTCTTTGCTGGATACTTCACTTTTAGGAATGCTCTTTATTTCTATCAATAATGCAAGTGGTTATTCAAGATCGTGTCATGTGATATAAGGAATTCTGACTTTTGACAGCATAAGTCAAGGGTTTGTGAGAAGAGTAGCAAATACTAAAGAAATCCTTGGCTACTGAAATGCAGTAATTGTATGCCACATAAATTGGATGAGTGAAAGATTGTAGCTGGAGTTCTGTGCTTGTCCATCTTTGCTGTTTTTTCATATGCTTATAAAATGACAAAAGTTGTTTTAACAAGTGACCCAATAAAGACTTAAAAATGTTAAATAATTCTTGTAAGAAAAGAAAAAATGTAAATCTTTTCTTATGCATTGTATTCTAGATAACAAAATGTATTTGACTTAGTTTTTGAAAAATGACAAAATAAGTACTCTATTGTGTAATTATACTGCTTGCAATACATTTTTACCTTAATATGATTTTAATAGTATTTGTCACTAAGATTGAAATACTTGAGAACACATCTTACAAATTTTGTTCTAGTTTACTTAAGTCAGAGGTATATTTTTTGAATGGCAACCAAGATTTGAAAAAAAAAAAGTAAAACAAAACTATTCACTTTTGTGATATCTCTGTTGATTTTTTTTTGTTTACAATTTTATGTGTCAGTTATTGGACAATATGGCCATAATAATTGCAGCATTTCAAATTTGATATATACTAACGATTTAAGGCAGATTTCTGTACTGATATGACCTTGACCCCCAAAGAGCAGAAATTTCAGGGTCAATATTTAAGACAATTATTTGTTGGATGTTTTATACATTATTTTTGACCTTATATCTTACAAACGATACCATGGAAAACTGTCTAGAATAAGAAATATGAAACCTATAAAGCCAAAAAATTGAATATTGCTGTTGCTTAGCAACCATTTAAAGGTCATTCAACACAAATTTGAACAAAAATAATATGTGGATATTGCAATTCAGTATGATGCCTTCTAAAGAGTAAATTCATAATTTTCTTCTTTAGCATCCATTGTTACAAATTTTAGCAAGAAAGATGAAAAGTTTTGGGAAAATTTTCTAAAATTATGCACTTATTTGACCTTTGACCTCCAAAAAAAAGTGAATCTAATGAGGTCAAACTTTAAGACAATTATCTGATGTATATTATTTTCAGTATCATTACCCCACATTTGACTTTACAGTTTAATGGAATGCATAAATGTGTGTGGGATGAGCAGAAAACAAGAAATACTGCCTGAAAATTGAAAAAATACTCCGTTGCTTAGCAACCTCTTTAAAGTCATTATTTGCAGAATTGAAAAAAAAGTTTATGTGATTAATGTAATACAGGAAAATGCCCTCTTGTGGGTTTATTCTGAATTTCCTATTTCAATGTGTATCACTGTTCATTTTTAACTTGAAGATTAAAAAGAGTCAAAAAATGCAATAAAATTCTGCACTAATTTGACCTTTGACCTCAATTTCCACTAGCAAGGTCAGTCGTGAGGTACCTGCATAGTTATGAAATATCATCTCCAAAAAATTCCCTACAAAATGGTATACATTATGCCTAGATTGCTCTTTGAATAAAAAAGTTATAAATTGATTTATAAGGATATGTCAATAGGTTTGCAAAAACGCTGAAAATGTGCCGGTAGAGAAAGGGTTAAGGTGAAATAGCCCTCTGCTCCAAATTTCATTTTTTTTATTCCAAATATTGATTTTCATCAACAACAATAGCAATAGATTCAAATGGAAAATAGTTTAAATATGAAGCGTTGCTTACTTTTTCAGAAATGGATACTCTGTCTAACCATGATGTGAAGAAAATTTGACATATGGTAAATAGAAAGATCAATAATTTTTTATCTCACAACAAAATTAAAGATATGAGGTACTGAGTATATACATGTATGAAAATAATATTTACTATCATACAGGTCTATCTAATTCTTATTAGAAAACAAAATGAAGCGTTAGTTTTTAAATCAGAACATCAAATTGTTTTCTGTGCTTGTAAAAAAAATATGCATCCATCAACAAGAGTTATCGTCCCATTATTGATCTTGAAAATATTTTTAGTGAAACAAAATATTAATTAAATGTTTATAAACAATTCTGCATCTAAAGACTTAAACGTAAAGAGATAAAAAGATGTCAATTTACACAGTTTAAAGGAACTGAGTATAGATGTTTTAGGCATCTACTTATTATCTCAAATGTTCACATAAATAAAACTAAGTCCATAGCTAGACTTTAATTTGTAGGTGCTATTTTCCTTATGATTTTCGTTCTAATGTTTTCCACGTCGTCCAAGAAAAATGAATCTTTAAAAAAAATAATATTAAGCTTAAAAATAAATCATTCATTATTAATGACTTAGGCCTACTCAAAATTACTTTGTAAGCCAGGATTAAATTTTTCTCAAAATAAATTCTGGGAAATCCATTTGCTATTTAAGGGCATAAAATAAAACCCATCAGTATGTCAGTCCTATTCTCTAAATCAAGCAATATAGCCAATTCCTGCCATGAGAAAGATTGTCCTAATTATTTTGGTTGTAGTTTTACTAGTTAACTCAAACATTCCACATGGACAAACACACAAACAACACAAAGGTAAGAGTTGAGATGCACTTATATTTTCTTAATATCGATCTTTTTCAGCAAATGCAATTATATCATTCAACTACTGAATGCCAATCAAATTTTTTAAAAAAATTGATGAATACGCATGTAGTATTTTATTTATTTGCTAATTAAAATTGTAATCGTAGGATATATAGCCGACAAACTCATTAAATCTTTAATAAGACGTGTACTGTGGAGAACTTTGTAAAGCTTAACTACATACGAGATTCGGCAAAATGATTTATGACAAACAATAGTTTTTGTTTGTACGTATAGAAATAATAAAATTTAATGTACAAACTAACAATTTCTTTGTAGTTCAAAGAAGCGCCGCTTCATCAAAATCTGGTAAGAGGCCTAAACTACCCGGTGATGCAGTTTGTTCTGGTTGTAAATACTTGAACAAGACAGATTCAGTGATAGGTAATATTTTATTTGCATTGAAGTACCTTTAGAGGAATTGCTACGGTGATGTCGTGTACATTTCCATTTGTTAGAGATGAACTTCTGTTCACTTTATGTTGTTTGAAGAAAAAGGCTTAACATCCGCAACCATTCTTTCTAAATTACTGCACTCCTAACAATGATTTGAACATAAGATTAATTAAAATGCCGTGTACATGGACAACTGCTTTTGAAATGCCCGTTTTATTTATTATAGTTCCGAAAGGTCCTTTGCTGCAATCTCGTAAATATTTCAAACCCAAGGACGATGTAATTTGCGCTGCATGCAAGAAATTTCACGGAAGGAAATCGCCAAAATGTAATCTTTTTTGTTTCACAGCTGAAAGTTTCATTTAAAATTTTTCTCCAGATATAGCCTGTTAATTGATGTACACTAAATGCTTTTCTTAAATATGGTATCATTTCGTATAAACCCTTAAAATTCATTTGTGTTTGTGGAACTTTCAAATCAAAAATTTTTATCTGTAATAATTGCTGTTTTCTATATTTTTTTAAGAGAAAAAAGTGCCTCCAGGTCTCATCTTTCGACATTTAATGAAAAACTGAACGTGAACACTGAGCTCACAAAATGATAAGCCGGCAAAATGGCATCATGTAAAGAATTTTTGAAAGTATCATTAAATTTTATTCAATGGTATAGGAAGAATTTCGGTTAAGAGGTGGGTAACTCTCAATTTTATAGAAGGAATAACAGTGTACATGTTTTGCTATGGGAAACCCGAAATGTGTGTCAGATCTAAAAGTAACCAGAAGTCTCTCTCGAGACTGAAGCTCTACTGGTTTGTACTTATAACAAAGGAAGAGAAAAGTAGCAGTTGGGACTTGAAACTTTACAACAGCAATAAACAGAATAATTATCCTTGATTGAGTCTCTTTTTATGGCAAGATATTGCAATAAGACTACAACTGTAGGAATAGCTTTTAATAAACTTTTATTAGCATAACAGTATTTTCAGTTTTAGTTACCATGGCAATATCATTTATAAAAAAATATATATATTTTAAAAAAAAACAATATAGGCAATTATGTATCTCAGTCTCCTTGTATGCCACATTATATAATAATCAAAGTAAAAATGTTGTTGGATTTGCAGAATTTTTCTATTTTTAGTAACCACGGCAACAATGTTCATCGAAATCAAAAACCAATAAACAGAATTATATATTTTAGTGCAGTCTATTTGTATGCCACGTTATATTAAAATCAGACCAAAACTGTAAGAGGAGTAAAAATTGAAAGTATTTCACAGAAATTTCTATTTTTAGTTACCACGGCAACACCGCTCATCAAAATCAAAAACCAATACATAGAATTATGTATCTTAGTGTAGTCTATTTGTGTGCCAAGTTAGGCCATTCTAAGTTTTTTCTCTGTTTAGCGTCCACCCATCTTTCAAAAACCTACCAACCTACTCGCAAAAACACACAGGCCAAAACATAAAACACAGGCTTAAAAGTGATAAAAATAACGCCCTTCAAATGATTTGATCTAACTAAACTGCTTTAATAAAGGAATTATCTATCCTTAAGCAAAAACAAGGGATTAAATGCTTAAAATACACCCAATATAACTTACTGTATAGAATTGTTTGGAGAAATTGACAAAATTTAAAGATTTCATGTTGTGTGGTTTTTCTTATATGGGGTGTCAAAAACCAAGGCGCACGCGGACGCTAAACATAGAAAAAACATGGAATGACCTTATACTGAAATCAGACCCAAACTGTAGGAGGAGTAGCATTTTGAAAAGGGTTCACAGAAATTTTTATTTTTTGTAAGCATGGCAGCGCCGTTCATCAAAATCAAAAACCAATATATAGAATTATGTATCTTACTGTAGTCTACTTGTGTGCCAAGGTTTATTGAAATTGTAGGAGGAATGGCATTTTTTAAGCATTTCACAGAAATTCCTATTTTTAGTAACCTCGAGAACACCGTTCATCAAAATAAAAAAACAATTTTCAGAATTAGTGTAGTCAACTTGTATGCCAAGTTATATTGAAATCAGACCAAAACTGTAGAAGGAGTAGCATTTTGCAGACGGACGGACGCATTACCATCGCATAAGCTCTTCTGGTCTCTGAGCAGTAGAGCTTTAAAAAAGGGATGCACAATGGTATTATATAACAAAGACTCTGTGAAGGCTTCCTTGAATTTCACTCAGTGGTATGAGAGGAGTTATGGATAAGAGATTGGCACCCCATAAGCTTAACAGACGGGCGAGAACGGACGTATTAACTGTCAAATTTACAGACGCATTCATGTGCATCCATGGTAGTTCATGAGAAAAACGAACAATGCTCCTATTTGCAAAGAATCTTAAGGAACATTATTTGGAAATGTCAATATTAAAGGTTAATCACAGAATTTTGATCAAATGCCAAACTATATTGATCATACAAATCGATTAATCTTTAGATTTGAATCGAATTGATTATCTGCTTAGAAAAAAATCCTATAGTTTTTCAACTATGCTCAAATTAAATGAATTTCATAACTTAAAAGAAGAACGACTACATCAAAAGTGTGCTTGTCAGCATAACGAAATTCCAGTATTAAATACTATAACCATTACAATCAGTGGAAGTGTATTTGATTCAAGTTAAAGAAGTAATTTAGTTCATATGTCCATTGAAACAATTCAAATTGATATCAGTGCAAACATGGACCACTAGAAACATCAGATGGGGATCAGATGCCATTTAGGAGTAAACATCCCCTGTCGGCCGAACACACTCGTGTTCCTTGGCATTATCGGACAGGTTAAAAACAAGAGGCCCATGGGCCTTATAGGTTACCTGAGCATCATGCAACAGCTTTCTATCCATTGAATTTGGTTCATGTTTTAAACCAGAGGCCATGACATTCACAATTTTGAAAGATGCACCATTGCTCAGCATAAATATGCACTAAGTATGCTTAGCTTGGTTACCTAATACCCAAAGAAGGGGAACAAAAATGCATTTCAACTAATGAGTAATATTCAGCAATAGTCAGTTATGCCCCACCCCACGGGGACCCCGGAGCGACAAATTTCACAATTTTCGAAAAGGCACCCTTGCTCGTCATAAAGGTTTGATTAATACCAATGAGCAGAATTAAAAGCAATGATTCATTTACAGTAAACACTAAACAATTAGAGCCCCATCCTAACACCAGCACCACGTCAGCCAGGGGCATTGAAATTCAAAATTCTACAAGCATGCAGAACCATTGCTCATCATAGATAAATAGGTAGTACACCTCCTCAATACACAGGACTGGCAGGAGCAGACATTTTCAAAAAAAAATTATGCATTTCACTATATAATTTACGTAGCCCCGCCCTTACACCAGAACCCCTGACACTGGGGCCATGAAATTTATAATTTTTGAGGAGGCACACTTCCTCGTCTTACCTATGTACGTAGTTAGTTTTCTAAAATACCCATGCCAGTAGCAGACGGGAAGATTTTTAAAGAATTCATGCATTTTCATTTTATAAACAAGAGCCCCAACCTAACATCTGAACCCCTGACCCTGGGTCCATGAAGTTCATAATTTTTGAAATAATAAAGTTCTATGTTGTTCATTTGTTTAAAATCAAGGAGCAGCATAAAGGATTTTCAAAGAATTAATGCATTTTTATTATAATCAAGAAAGTCCCATTCTTACACCAGAACCCCTGACCCTGAGGCTATGAAATTCACAATTATTTTAGAAGAGGCACTCTTCCTCACCGTTACTATGTATGTATTAAGTTTGTTTAATACCCAGGAGCAGAGAAGATTTTCAAAGAATCACTATATAATCAATAGAGCCCCGTCCTTACACCAAAATCCCTGACTTTAGGGCTATGGAATTCACAATTTTGGAAAAGAAACCCTTCCTCATCAAAACTATACATTAAATTTGTTTGTTTAATACCCAGGAGCAAAGAAGATTTTCAAATAAATAATGCGATTTCTCTTTTATATAATCTAAGTCCTGCTCTGGCACTAGAACCCCTGACCCTGAGGCCATGAATCTCAAAATATTGTAGACTCGTTGCTTATTAATTTTATGCCAATAGTTTGACTGTTTGATGTTCAGGAGTAAAGAAGATTTTTAAAGATACATGTGTAGTATCAAATTTTTTGCTCCTTGGGCCCCAGGGGGCAGAGACCAAGAAATTCACAATTTTCGTTCCCCCTCACCCATATATAGATGCTTTGTGCAAAAATTGGTTGAGCGGTTGCAGAGAAGAAACTGAAAATGTTGCAATGTTATTGCACGACGCACGACGAAAGCAAATAGCAATATACAGAAATTTAATTTTGTTTGTTTAAATATAATATTGTTTAACGTCCCTCTCGAGAATTTTTCACAGATTTGGAGACATCGCCACTTGCCGATGGAGAGCGGCAAATTTTATCCTTTACTCGGCACTCAGGGCCATTGAGCAGGGAGGGATCTTTTTCGTGCCAGCAGCTACTGCGATACGGTCTCATCCGAAGGACCGGTCTCCACATCCCATAGTGGGATTCCAACCCGCGACGTAAGGATCAACTCCTTTCTTTGCGACTTTTGAGCAGACACCTTAACCACTGCGCCACGCGGGTGACCAGAAATTTCGGAGTGAAAATAATGGTAAAGTAAAACAATATACGTACTTTGCAAGAAACACGTCATCCAGCATTTGACACTATGTTAGACGTTATTTGCTGACAAGATAATTGTATGAATGTAGAGTTAGCTAAATGATGACTTGTTTCATCAACTTATTTGCGAAAGCTTAAGTCGTTTTAAAAATTATTTAGACGTACAGAATGCTCTTGTGTATCGAACCAACCTGCAGACATATAATGTAAACACAATATCCAAGCTGTACTTGAATATTGCAACATATTTCTAAATAAAAATAACGGTCGATATTTTTTTCTATTTCGCTATTGGCCAGTACTTTGTTAAAGATCACTCCGATTCTCCACAGAAGTACTTTGCAGTTGATATTGCAAGGATGATGGAGTTACTGTGAAGTCTCGGGAGACCAAGTCTTCCAACATACTGTTGGAATTCCGATTCGCAATAATATACATTTATTGCATGATAGTGAGGGAGACATGAAGAAATCTTCATATCTCCCGAACATTTATGCGATAAATTATTATACCAAATCAACAATAAACTTCAAATTCTTCTCAGATCAATACTCATATGTTTTTGTTTGTGATAATTAAAAATTAATTTATCTTACAATGATATAAAATGGAGATTCAAGATATAATAACAAAGAAAAGTTTTAATATTTATTGTATAGTAATTTATCTCATATTCCCCATTTTCAAAAGTGAGTTATCTCCCCTCAAAATTGGAACTCTTCTACACTAGCTTAACTTCCGCGGACTACGCATTACGATAATCCAACAAAATAGTGATCAACTTACACGC